TTTTGGTTCAAACTCAATTATGGTATCTTTTTGATATCTTTTAGGTTTAATTCCATTTTTAATTAGGGTTTTATGAGTTCCCAATAAATATGATCATTTTTTTAATTGTAAAATACATGAATTTGAGAGATGTTATTGCGACACATATTGCTCTCAACTTGTTCTTTATCGAACTAATTTTGAACTTATCAAGAATTAAATTCTTGCGATGTTCAACAATTCAAGTAAGGTTCATAAGTTTTATGATCACGGAGTCAAGATATAGTTGCCGATTGTCTTGGTTATTTGGTTCAATAATTTATGGGGTTGAGATTTTTAAACTATGATATTTGGCTTTCTTGAATTTGATATAATGTGTCATGAATTGCGAAAGTATAATTGTTATGTAGGTTCGCATCAACAAAGCATTTGAGATGACAGTGTATCCATGCCATGTCATGCTAATGACTAGTTTGATTACTGATCAAATGTAATTGCCACTATTATATACTAGAACACACCTATGGTATGACTTGTTCATCATCGAACGTGCCAAAAATGCCTTTAATGGTCTCTAAGTTTCAAATTAAATGCAAATATTGCCTATAATTTTAAGGAATCAAAACCTTTGAAAAACATGTAAAGAATTACACTTGAAAGACGTTGTTCAAAGAGTCAATCTATGCAGCATCAATTTAGGGGTTTGGTCGCGGATGAGGGTGGATCAGGATGGCTGTTGACCGGATGGATTAATGAGCTTGGTAGGGGAAGAAGAATTTTTTTTTTTTATTTGTTAATTTGTATTTAATTATTTTAAGTGANTTTTTTTTTTATTTGTTAATTTGTATTTAATTATTTTAAGTGATATTTATTTGTATTTTTTGAATATTTATGGGAATTCATTTGCAGTTTTTTTTCCCCTTTTTCTGTTGTTTTTTGCCTTCTTTTATTTTTGTTTATTAAAAAAGAAGGGAAAATTCATCATTTTATTGTCAAAATAAAGGAAATGACGAGTTTTGCTATATAATTGAGAGGTTGGTATGGACTGCTAAAAGATGTTGAATGTCGTTAAATCGGGCAAAGATCGAGGATAAAAAAAATGCAAATTTTCAATTTCAAATCCTAATCACTAAGACCATCTCTAGCTAGGAATGTCAACGAGTCGAAAAATAAAAAGCAGGCAGTTGCTTGGTGTTTTTTATTTTTATTTTTTTTAAGGTCCAGCTCGTCACGAGTCAAAAATAGCCCTTGACACAAACCGGGTCGCATGAGCCGATGAGTGAAATTGACACCCTTATCTCCAACCCATTTCACTAAAAAATATTTTACGTTTCACGCCATGTTATTTAGCCCCTTTTTGACAATCATTTTTTTCAAAACTCATTTTTCCAAAACTATTTTTCAATCACATATTCTCCCATAAAATAATTTTACATGCAAATAAAAAAAATTCTTTTTTTCTAAAAAATCACTATTCCAAAACACATTTTTCCCAAAAAAATAGATTTCAAAGAGGAGCTTAGTTGTCTTCAATCCATTACACCAAATGAACATTTTCCCTATATTTTCTTATTTTTTAAATTCTCAATAATTAATTTATGGGTAATTATATTCACACCACAATTTTTATTTCTCACTCCACATTTTGATTGTACTTAATGTTATTAATCTTTGCTTATTATAGCACTAATATCCCTTACAACATTTCGTTTAATCCTTATTCTCAAACTTTTCATTAATTAACACATTTTGTATTTGATAACAATTTTATATCCAAAAATTCGTTGAAATGACGTAAAACAATTTATTTTTCTTCATTTTTTAAAAAAAAAGAAATAAATGTGGGAAAACATATTTTCCCTTATTTCAAAGCATGAAAACAAAATATTTTATTATAAATTATCACCAAGGACGAGACGTAATAATTAATGGAAGGTTTTTGATAAAAAAAATAGATGAAAAATTTAAAATTAATTACTACAGTGAGCAAAGATTAAGTAGTTTAACTGTAATTAAAATGTGGTGTATCAACTAAAATTATTGTGGCAATATAACAACCGTTAACTTATTTCAAAAATTATTTAGTTACGTATTCTATTATCATTAAAATACTAAATTAAAAATTATATTTAAATAATTAAAATATTATATTTATTAATAAATAAAAAAAATACACTTATTATCACAATTTAAAAAATATAACATTAACATCACAACTATAAATGTTAATAAAAATAATAATCGAAATAAAACAAATATAAATAAAATTATATCAAGGATATAAAAAGGACATAATAAGATTAAAGGACAAATTAGAAAATAAAGAAAAAAATCTATATATTACACCAAGTGAACAATGGTGGACACTAATTTAATTTCAAAATTTAAAGTTTAGAGT